AGTATGCTGAGTGAAGTATCTCAGTCACAAAAGGACAAATTTTGCATGGTGCCACTGTTGTAAAACAAGTTTGGGGTTGGGGAGAGACTGAGAAAGATGGGTTCAATAATGTATACTGTACTGAAACAGATGAGGGAGAAAACTGTTTAAAAGAGATCATGTGATTAGGTATTTTTGTCATGACGGGAGTCTAGAGCGAAGGCTACATGGTGGAGTGGACGTGGGGGAGGGTTTGTAAAATAATAAAAGAATTTTTCCTTTTACTTTTCCAAGAGGATAATGTTCTGGGGGGGAGGGTTGGGAGGGGAGAAATGTGCAAGAATGAATGAATGGAAATCCCATGTCTCTGTAAATTTTTACTCAAATTAATAATAAATTTAAATTTTAAAAAAATTTAAGTTAGAGTAAGGAAGGCAATGGATTTATAACTGCTCATGCTAGTAACACTATATCATGGCATGGAGGAGGAATAATGGAACTGTATCCACACTTAAAATATTCTTCTTACCCAAACCATTTATGGAAAATAGGAACTGCATTGTAACATGTATCTCTGGATTGAAAATGATCATACTAATAATTTCTAGCCTTAAACTTAAAAGATTATACTGTTCAAAGTTATTTGTTATATATTTGTTTAAATTTTTCCCTCTTTTAACAACTAGGATCTAGAGGGAAGAGAAAAGACCAGAGAATGGCCAAAATTATTGGGGCAGCTACTGCTGCCAGTTTAGGGCCTGTGTCAGGAAAAGGAAGTCTTACTCATAAACAATGCCACCCCCAAAGGTAATAAAGAAGGTCAGAATTGCTTCCACTGTGGAAAGCTGGGCCACTTCAGTAGACAGTGTCACACATGAGAGCCACAGATAGGCAAGAGAGAAGAGAGGAAGTTCCCACTTGCTTTAAAGTATGGATCTGAAGGACGCTTGGCCAAGGGCAGCCCACACCAGGTCCTTGTGGCTGACAGGACCGACAGGCTCCAGTTCCCACCTGGAAACAAAGGAGGACGCTTCAATGATTTAGATCCTCCCAGATAAGCCGTGGGTGAGCATTAACATTACTGATAAGTATATTCATTTTCTCCTGGACACAAGAGCCTGTTATTTGGTCCTAAAAGCCTTCTGAGGTCCCAACGCTTCTCACTATTTCTTAGTTGTTCGAATTGACGGAAAATCTTATAAGCAGTTCCTTACTTCACCTCTGCCTTGCATGCGAACTTCCAAGCTGTAAAACAACAAAGTGGTAGATGGAATTTGGTCCAAGACTTAAGAACAATAAATGACATAGTTGAGCCTCTACATCTTGTGGTTCCTAACCTTTATACTACAATAGACAAAGTGCTAGATAATAAGCCTTTTATTTTAAGAACTACCTTCCCTCTGTATCTTGATTTGTGCTAGTGTTAGAACCTCTACTTGGAATATTATTGCTTTTAATTTTAGACTCATGTACTTTTAACTTGTTAGTTAAATTTGTGTCTTCTAGACTGCAACAGTTCCATGATGCATTTTCAAGGATATGAACATGTATGACTAAGCAC